CGCCGCCGCTGCTGACCCGCCGCGGTCCGGGAGGGGCGGCAGGTGGCGCAGGTGCTGCCGGAGCGCGGGAGGGTGCGGGTGCCTCTCTACGGCCCGGACTGCCGCGCGCCCAGCACCCTCCCGCCTCCCGCGCACACGACAGTCAGTCAATCCGACAGATCGGTCATAAAACACACGACAATAGGCCCCACTATCGGGCGCTGTGTGTGCGCGGTGTGTATTTCGCGGCGCGAGCGGGCGGGAAAAAAAGGTTGACAGGTAATTGAAATAACTCCATTGGTGATACCCACGAGAGAAAGGGGAGCATAACGCACGCACCCTTTCCTGCTTCGCAACATAAAGAGGCGTGACAGCGGGGCGGGGTCGAGCAGTATGAGGGGTGTGCTCGCTTCGTGGACAAGCAAGAGGCCCTCCCCGGACGGACGACCAGCTGCTCATAATGCCCCGGGCTGGTGCGGGGTCACGCGCGGCCCCCCGGCCCCGGGCCCCGGGCCGTCCTTGTCCAGCGAGCGCGCCCCGCCGCCGCCGCCTCCGCGGCTGACACAAACTCGTCCAGGCGGCCACCCGCTCCCGCTATGCGTCCTTCTCCTAATAACTATCTATACGGCTGTCACGCCGGGTCAGAGCGGCCCCAAAACCCGACCGGGCCGGGCGCTTCCGATCCGATTCCCCACTGAATGATGCAGCAGTACGAAAAGTCAATGGTGCTGCGTGCCCGATCTTATTCGATTCCCCGCCCCCCTCTCCTCCTCGGATACCTCATTCCGCCCCACCCTCTCACCACCACCCCCCTGCGGGCGTCCTCTGCGCTAACACGACTTTCTTTAAATCTTCATTCTCTGTAAAACCCCCGCCAGAGTGAGAGAGAGGGGAAAGGACCCCATTATGCCGAGGCCACACTTTCCTCGTGCCATCGATATTGCATGAATAGGAAATGTGCTCCGCGGCTCGCCTAACTGCTGTGGGTTGCGGGGCCCGCAGAGCAGCGCAGCGCCCTCCCCGACCGCCGCAAGGTATTATTCGGAAGGTACTTAGGCACCAAAGCGGGGCGGGCCGGGGGACCGCAGCCCAGCCCAGCCCAGCCCCTCTCGGCTCGCACGACATCATCCACCTCCTCCGCTCTCCTTCCACCCGCTGCACACCACACACGTCTCGATTTCAAGCCCCCTGATTCCCAGTCGCCCCCGCCAGGCCCGGCCTTCCCGGTGCAACGGAAGCACTGAGTCAGGGTGGCGGCTTGGAAAATGATTGCTGAGCAAGCGTGGGACGGAGGAGGAGGAGGAAGAAGCGGAGCGCGGGGGGTCAGGCGACAGGCGAGAGCCCGCGGGCTCGGATTTGGAGGGGGATAGGGGGGGCGGACTTCCCCACGGCAGCTGCGCGGGCTTTGCAGCTGAGGTGATGGAGCTAAAGAAATATACACTGATAAACACAGGAGTGTGCGATCGGCAACTTGTGAAAATGAGTGTGCAACTACTGTAAGTTGAATATACCAGTGATATACCAAGTGTTCGACTGCACTTTGAATACTTGTAAAGTACAGGTGGCTGATTCGCTTTCATAGTCACACTGTTACCGCATGCTCGTGTGTGGGCGGGTTTGCCTATGCTCTCTAGCTCGCCACGGATCCTTATGGCCCCGTGCGAGTAGGCAACACGCCCACACGCGTCCAATGCGGTACAGTATGACTGGAAGTGTGCGGCGTGAATCAGTCTGCCTGCATGCCTATGTACACATCTTTTAAAGTGTACATACAACCGTTAGTATGCATGCCATGTACACATCTTTTAATGTGTACATAGGCCTGCACACATTAATTAATGCATACATGCCATGTACACATCTTTTAATGTGTACTATGTACACATTTGAGTTGACAGAGTTGCGAACTTGTCGGTGTTCAAGTACATCT